AGTTTCTACTAAAATAAGCCGCAACATAGTGAGGAGATATCAATGGAATTTAGGCTACTATGTTATATATTTTTTTTGTACTTTCTGTCATTGCATTTATCGTTGTTCATTTCATAAAAATACAACATGGGTATAGAAAATATTTTCTAAAAATTAACAATTTTCTTATTTTGTATCTTTATATATCTAATCCCATTTCATGTAGAGGTAGTTTCATAGTAACTGTTGAGATTAATTCTCATATGATGCAGGCAGGGATTTGCAGCGGTTGTCAGGAAACACTAGTTCTAGAGTTGGTCATATGAGCTCAAAACAGGTGATGCCGGAACATCATTTCACTTTCATTTTATATATAAATATATAACCTATCCTATGTGTTGCTATGGTTTTCTTGTTGTGGTTTCAAATTTTGCTTTCTTCGTTGCATGCTAGTTTTTTAGTAGACAGGGTAAAACTAGCATCTTAGATACAAACTAATTGTTATGTGATCATTTATTCTAAAATAGTTGATACATGCATTTTAAATTCATTTCCTTTTTTTCTCTTGAGAATTAATAATGAAAGTATTTTCACAATTCATGATGCTTAAAACAAGTAACATTGACTAAGTGTCTTCATTTTATTTCTGTAGATAAGAGAGCTTAGTGCTTCACACCAATCTACTGAGAAGATTAATGATGAGAGTATAACCACGATTCAAGATGCTTTGATGGTATGACTTATCATTTAGTAAATGCTATTCCTTTTCTTCCCTAATGCAATGGCTGGTTCAAACGAGGGGATGGGTGATAACATTCTCTTCTTTTGGTTCACAGGGAGGTAGTTTTTGATGAAGGGAATAATTTACTTTATACACTAGTCTTTAATGTTATATTGTATGTTTCTAGTTGGCTGCAAGTTCTGTGCGACAGATAATTCTAGATGTCAAAGTTGGACCTCCGTTGTATGAGAAGGGACTTGCCAAAGACGTTCTTTCTATCGTAAGTATAATGATTCTGTCCCTTTCCCGTTGAATATTACATGTTGATACGACCTCTAGCTCATGTAGAAGTTAGCTCTGCTTTGCATTCTTATTCTCTGTGTTCTCTCTCACGGAGTACTTAAATATGAGAGCTTTTAAAAAAATTGAGTTGCAAAAGCTTTTTCAACTTATGTGTGAGATATGGCTTATGTCAAGAGTCCCACGTTGGATGAGATATGGCTTAAAAACATGCTTATAAGTGGTGATAGTGTTCTCCTTACAAGTCAGTTTTAGACTCAACCAAAATTCTAAAATATAAGATATTTTCTTTAGAACATTTCTACTTTTGTAGCCATGTAATTTCCAAGTGTCAATACTATCTTTCAGGTGGAGCAGACAGGGTGCAAAAACTGCCTCATATGGGCTAAAAGTGACAATTTAGCAAGGGATGTCATTAAACTCTCATCAGAAATTGCAGTAAGAAGCAATTCATTTAGTATATTTGCAAAACTTTATGTTTTTATGACTAGAATGTTTTACCTAGGGAAATTTTCTGTTGTCTTGTATAAGTTGCTTTTACTTAGGTTTCATTGTCAGCTTCAACATCAACACAATTTAGTTTGGAATGATGCAGGTTGGTTATATAGTCATGAGGGAACCTTCAACAGGGGCTAGATCAAAATTGCTGAGGATGAAAGGTGCTGAGGTTGTTGGTGTCTACCACCCATTGATTGACGAAAAGCTTATGAAAGTTTTGCACAGGAGAAGAAAAAAGGTGTTTGCATGGACTGTTGATGATGCAGAATCCATGGAAAAGCTATTGTTTCGGCAGGTTGATGCGATTGTTTCGAGTAACCCTACTTTACTTCAACGCCTAATGCAGGATATCAAAACACAATGTTTTGAAGAAGGATATTCATTACCAAACTAACATTTGTTTTAACAACATAAGTATATGTCTGATTCAAAGATTCCCTGTACTATCCATTGTAATTTGTGATGAGTAGAAAACTAATCCATGTATAACATTCATTATTCTCTTCTTTACAAATTGACATTTTGCTTGGAGAAAAGAGTATCGTGCTGGCTTTTAGATGTTTAATGGACCTTAGATCCTTGCTCTAGAATATTTACTAATTAATTAGTGATTAATGCTAAGAGATACAAGTTAAAAAACTCATTCATAAAAAGTTGGATTGAAAAAGGTAATAAGAAAACTAATTATTTATTTTCATTAAAACTAATGCACAATTTTTAAGATAATTTTTTTTATAATTTTTTTTATTATTTAGTTTTTAACATGTGCTTAAGTTAGTATTATCGATAATGATTTTTTAGTTATCACATAACCATTTTTTGGTCTTACATGTTGATGCTATTCCTTCTCGATTAAAGTACTACTAGCTACATTGAAGATAAGAATGAGTAGAATGAAAATTTAGAAGTTCGGTTAAACAAAAAAGTCACACTTACCTTTAGGGTATGTTTGGTTCAAATGAGGGGGACGAGAGGGGAAGAATTATTTTAATCAGATAAGTGTTTGGTTCAAAAGAGAGGAGGGGAGGGATTTTAATTAAAAATGTGTTTGGTTCAGAAGGGGAGGGGAGGAATTTTATTAATAATTTACAATTTTATTTTTATGATCTTATATAAGTCATATGATATTAAAATATGAAAAATTATGCGTATTTTTATTGGTAATAAAATTTTTAATATTGAATGATTAAAAAAATATTTATTTGCAACATAAAATTAAAAAATTGAGTACAATTGATTCGACTTATAACTTTTCAATATAAATTAAACTATATGCCAATAACATCGTTTAAATTATATAACAAAACAAATATATAAAATAACTTATTATTAAATATTAATGGCTCAAAATATTTAATAAAATAAATAAACAAAAATAAATAAAATGAATAGTTTATAATTTGATATAAAAGAAAATAGGATAGAATACCTAACAAAATCAAAAGAAAAAAACAAATATAACTAAACATAATTTTTTTTATAAAAAAAAGACAATAATTATGATTTATATTAAGTATTGAAATTATAAAATAATTTGAAGGTGGAGAACAATTATAATAAGTTGATGGAAACAATCGAGAAAAAACAGTAACACGAAAGAAAACGAGTAACCATGGCCTGCAAAATAAAACAAATATGGCTTACAAAATAAAACAATTATAATAAGTTGATGGAAACAATAGAAAAATAAAACAATTATAATAAGTTGATGGAAACAATAGAAGAAGTTCCTTTTTGCAGAACCTCTATCATCTCCAAGGTCCCCACGAGCAACCATGGCCTGCAAAGTAAAACAAACCCAAACAATGAGCTAGATGCTACACAGAGATAAATATCATTACTTTGATCCATACAATTGCATAACTTTTAATGACTTTCTCCAAAATATAGACTATGAGAGAGTTGAAAAACCTATCAACATGTTCAAACCAGTTCAAGGTATACCAAGTGTTAAATCAGCCATAGGAGGGAGTTTTCAGCAAAACTTGTTTAAAACATGTACAATAAATTTTCCTAATTTAGCCGTTTCCAAAAGATTCATTTTCATACATTATCAACTCTATCAGAATCTACTACAAAGCCTACGCAGAGAATGTGATTATGTTTAGGCATCTGTAAGATCAAGCTTAACTATGACTATTTGAGTTGAAAGCACATCAGCATACTTTTGAAAACATAAGAGTGTTTCCAATCTAAAAATATAAATCTATGCAATTGAAGTAACTCTTGTGGTAACTCACCATGAAAATTATTGCCTCGTAAGTCAAGAACAGCAAGGAAAGAGAGATTTCCCAATTGAGGTGAAATGGTACCTTGAAGGCCCATATTACTGAGGTTCAATGCCTTTATTCTTCCATGATGTTCGTCAAAAGCAATTATGAAATGTATCGGGATTCCAACAACGAAAACTTGGACAAACTGAAACTCCGGAAGCAAATAGATTCGGACAACCTATAAATATTGGATAAACATAGTTGGAGCAGTTAATATTTCTAAGGGGTTTTTAACCCCAAGTTCAAATTGTTACCGGTGTTGCCGTGTCAGTATCGGGATAATGTTTTGGGTGTCTGTGCTTCGTAGCCAAGAGATAGAAACTCTTGCAGTAATAAAGAAATAACAAGCTGGATCAAATCAGAGAGAGGTTACAGCCGAATAAGTACCAAATTGGATGCACGTGGAGGAGTTTTAGATTCCACTTCCTAATTCCTTTTTCTAAATTACTTTTTTAACCATTTTCTATAAATTTTTTACATTTGTGCCCTAGTATTGGAACATATACTCCAAAATGCCACTTTTATACAAATATATACTGAAATGCCATACTTTCAAAAACGAAAAAAATTTTGGATGAAGGCAACCGCCCATTCATTGGGCGGAAATGTGAGAATTTGAAGGCAACCGCCCATTGGAAGGGCGGCAGTGACCACACATAATTTTTTTGGGCTGAAAATATATTTTTAAATATTAATATATATAATTATTAATATATTATTATAAAAATAGAATAATAATATAAATTTTAATATATGTTAATATTAATATATATTAATAATAATAATATAATATTAGTAATAATATAAGTATTAATATATATTATTATAAATATATTATAATATACGTTTTTAAATATTAATATGTATTATTATTAATATATATTATTATTAAAATAGATTAATAATACTAATTTTAATATATATTAATATTACTAATAATATTTTAAAATTATATTTATAATACTAATAATACTAATTTTAATATTAATATATATTTATAATACTAATAATATATATTTATATTAATATTATTAATATATTTTAAAATTAATATTAATAATATTTATAATATTAATATACATTAATATTAATAATATTAGTATTTATTAGTATATGTATTATGTGACACTATTATTAATATTAATTTAAATTTATATATTGAAGACATAATTTATATTGATTGAAATTATTAACTAATATTAATTAATACATGATGATTAATAAAAGGACTAACGACTACTTGTTCCCACATTGGGACACCGGGTGCGATTGTGTCCCGTTTGACGACACATGGAACATTTTCTCTCAAGCTTATCAAAGTTATCCATTTCTGTTGTAATACGTGTGCTTACAGGGCGACCTTTCTTGTTCCTTCGCATTCTTGGGTTATGGCAAATTTGATCTCCTTCATAAACAGGCCAATATTCATCGCATGGCATCACTGGAAAACTTGCGCTGTAAACCCCAAATAGGTTTGTAACCCTATAAACGTCGGACAAAAGAGTGTAAGCGTCGTGGCGCACATTCGAACATGCATCGGTAACATGTGAGCAAGGGACACGAAATGCTTGAAACTTTCCGCAGTCACACCACCCGTTCAAGAGGTCGACCTTATAATGTCCCATAGGTTTCCCCTCACCATGGTCCATTGTCTCTTGCACACTGAAAACATTGTTCCTGTAGTCAAAAATTCTTACTTGATGCGTGCTGGATTTTGTTGTTTCTTCTTTCATAACCTTGAGGCAGTTACCGTAGACTTGTTCAATTGCCTTATTTCTTGTAATCCATGTCTTTCTGTAAGACGGAGTAAAATGGAATTCGGAAACAATTTTACTTATGCAAACACTAACCTTAATAGAAGGATCTCTGTCTACAAAAGGCATTAACTTTTGAGACATTAACTGTGAGGTTAGTTTTTGATGATCCTGATTGAACAAAGTTGTTGAACAACTATGGGGTGGGTTCATAATGCCTATCTCCCACAACTCACTTCTTTTTCGGTAGGACGCCACGAGACGGAACTTGCAGGAATCATTCCTGCAACAAATTATGTATCTCTTCTTGTCGGAATCTATCACTTTGTAATCCACACAGTGTTTCATGTGGTATTGCTTAATGGCAGCGACACAGTCAGCTTTATTTTTAAATTGGTATCCGACTTCTAAGTCACCTTCCGCGGGAAAACGAGGATTCTGTGGCCAATCAAATGATGTTCCTTCTACGCTTAGTGGCAGGGTTGTCATATGCGCTGGTGGGATGAATACATTTTGAAGTGGAACACATTGATCATCTATGTTGACTTCGATCCCTTCCTCAAACAAGGTAGTATATAAATCATCAACTTGTGCCTCGTTTTCTTCTTCGCCGTCTCCGTCTTCAACATCTTCGTATGGAATTATGGATGGATTGATCACCTGAGAAGTCTGCGTTTCTTGAACTTGTGCGAATGTTATATATAAATCAATGTACTGAAACCCACAACATTCATGATTCGAGAACATCGTTTCAACATCCTCGTCGTCACGAATCTTCAGTGGAACAAATTTAAAGTGATTGTCGCTGAAACGGACGGCATTTTTGTACATCATCTGTGACACTGATCCAGCTTGCAACTTCATCTGTACCCTTTCTTTGAAATGTTGGAATGATGATCTTCTATTAACAGCGAAACGAATTACGTCAGTGTTTTCAAATATCAAACCCACTTCGTCTGATACAACAACACTTCCATTAAAATGGGCGTTAACAATATGTTGTTGAGCACTAGACATTATGTAATAGAGGTAGAAGAAAAATATTGTTTGAGTAGGATTATTTGGAATTGTTTGAGTAGGAATTGAGATAGTAGAATTGTAGTAATATAGGTAGAAGAAAAATATTGTTTGAGTAGAATTATTTGAGTAGGAATTGAGATAGTAATAGAGGTAGAAGAAAAATATTGTTTGAGTAGAATTATTTGAGTAGGAATTGAGATAGTAATAGAGGTAGAAGAAAAATATTGTTTGAGTAGAATTGTTTGAGTAGGAATTGAGATAGTAAAATTGTAGTAAATATAGTAGAACCAGCCATGCCATGCATTCACGTGACATTTCTAATAAACCCAGTCGCCCATTGAATAGGCGTTGGTCAAACCATTTAACACACAACCGCCCATTCCAAAAACGGATGTCTGCAAAGCATTTATGCTGTCTGAAGGTAGCCGCCCATTCCAAAAACGGATGTCAGGGAATTTAATGCACAGCCGCCCATTCCAATTGCGGGTGTCAGTGTAAAAGAGACACAGCCGCCCAATCCATAGGCGGTGGTCAAAGTCTTTTAAGACTCTGCATGGGTGCAGCCTACACGTCTATGCATGCAAAAAAATAAGTCCTATGCATGCAGAAAATTAATTTTACAGTATCCCAAAATTAATTTTACACTAACCCACAATTATTTACCTCCTATTTATCTCTTATAATTTTCATAATCTCCTACAACTTTCATACTTCCAACATTCATAATCTCCAAAATTATTTACCTCCTATTTATCTCTTACAATTTTCACAAATATCTCTTTCATACAATTTTCATAATCTCCTACAACTTTCATATTTCTCAAAGATGGTTTTACTAACCTTAGGCGATGATCACCGTGGTACCATGGAAAACATTGCAAAACACCCCCTCCATGACTTATGGGACCCTCGAAACCAACCAACTTCATCAAACTTCCAAAACACCCCCTCCATGACTTATGACACCCAACCACCAATATTTAACACCCCACAACAAATATTTAACACCCCATTCAACCCAAACCCAACACAACCACCTTATACCCCAAGCCAGCACTACAATCAACCTTACACATCATTTAACCCAAACCCCTTCAACATCCAACAACAAAACCCAACCTCATCATACACCCAATATAACCAATTCTCATTCTCTCAACCTACCCATCAAGAACATAACTACCAAACACCCCAACCACAAGTTCCTTTTTACCCTTCACAAAACTTCACCCTTTCTCAAGACCAACATCCATACACACCCTACATGACTAACGCGGCGCCACCTATAAACCCACCAACTTGGAGTAACGAGGGTACGAGATTAAGTTATGGAAGTGCGGCAGCGATACCATCTGACGACGATTTCAATGATGATTTGGTCGCTCAATTCATGAACCCTAACAATGATGCAGGACCATCTACGCAGACCCAAAACGCTGAGGTTGATCGTAGAAGGTCCACCAGAAATGTACAAGCTCCTGCCTGTGGAACCCACCAACGCTTACGTCGACCGGGTCGAAATTAGTTAAGGGTCAATAGGAATTGTAATGTACATATTAAATTTCAAAAATTAATAAATATTTATTTTAGTTCTTTTATTGTTATTTATTTTATAAATATTATTATATATTTCTAATTCAGTTATAATTATTACTAATTAATTTAAATTAATTAAAACTAAATACATTATTTCCACATCAATTATTATTATTAAATATTTCTAATTCAGTTATAATTATTACTAATTAATTTAAATTAATTAAAACTAAATACATTATTTCCACATCAATTATTATTATTACTAATTAAATTTAAATTAATTAAAACTAAGTATTTTAAAATACATTATTTCTAATTCAATTATTATTGTTAATAATTATTATAGTATAATAATAATAATTATTATTGTTATTATTAATAATAATAATAATAATAATAATAATAATTATTATTATTATTATTATTATTAATTATTATTATTATACTAAATAATAAAAAATAACATAAAACGAAGAAAAAAAAAACCAGTTACCCTCAACCGCCCATTGAAAGGGCGGGTGTCTTTAAAACACAACATGACCGCCCATTGAAAGGGCGGCAGTGCCTTACATTTGTTTGAAATCATGGCATTTTGGTATATAGTTTGAAACGTGTGGCATTATGGTATTTTATTTGTAAAAAAGTGGCATTAGGGAAAAAAATTCATTTTCTATTTCCTATAATTAATAAATTATTAATCTATGTTATTCTAAACAAAATAAAATACAAATATGTCTTATCTTATAATAATACAAAAATAAAATATAATAATTGAACTGCGGTTTCTTGTGGTGAGATAGAAACTCTGATTCTGTTATTTGGAACCATTTGATTTCAATTTTGTTAGTTAACCCTAAAAAAATTTCCACCAAAATGGCGAATGGGAAGACGGGAATCCCCAATTGGTTCCAAAAGAAAATCACTGATCCTCTTCTCGCCATTCTCCAAAGGTACATGAATCACTCATTCATTTGCGTTTTATCAGATCTGTTTCTGGATTCGTTGAAGTCTGTTCTTTGTTTCAATTTTCCTCTAAAACAGATTTTGATTCTCAAGTATAGGGTTTGTTTGTTAGGGATTGTTTAAAAAGTTATTTTGTTATTCAATTAGTTTGAGATACCACTTTTAGTGATTTTTAAGAAAAGTGTGTTTGTTTTCCTGATGAAAGTCACTTTTTTTTTAGATCATAATTGAAGCTCTGAAGCATTGACTCTGACACCGACACTTGTGATTATGACCAATTTATTATTAGTGTCTGTGTATGTATCGGTACTTCATAGCTTAGAAGTGATTAATTTGAAAAATAAGCGGTAAAAAAGGATCCATAATTTGTTATGTTTTTCATTTGGAAATCTTTGTTTATGAATTATATTTGGTGACAATTAGTTTGTTATGATTTTTTCAGAGGAGCTGAGCCAAAGCAGTTGGCTTTCTCTGCTGCTCTTGGCATTACATTTGGAGTATTTCCTATATGTGGTATGTTGTAATTAACCGATCATAAGCAGATTAAAATATGGATTTGATTCATGTATACTGTAGTGTAAAGATTTTATGCTGTTAACCAATCATAATCGTCGGATCATAATCGCGAAAAATAGTGGTTTTGTTCAAATTCCGCCATGCTACCTATAGCTGCTATTTGCCAATGTTTGTTAGTTATTGAACTAATGGAAGAGTAACTGCACGATAGGTTTACGTCATTGGTTGAGTCAGTGAAGAATGAAAGAGGAAATGCCTTATATGTGTCATACAGGCTATGTAGCACTGACACCTCGGTATCTGAAACCGACACCGACACTTGTGATGATTACGTTTGACTTATTCAATTTTTTCAAATTATTATTGGTGCTGACATGTCAGTGTCGGTGTTGTGTATTCGGTGTCTGTGTTTCATAGCACACATGTTAGTAGTAGCTGTTCATACAGGTTAAAGTCTTGGTAGGAAGCATAGGAACATGAAATTTGGAAATTCTTCTGCAATTTGTATAATATGAGGCTAATGTTTTTCAAATAGGTGTCACTGTATTTCTCTGCGGAGTGGCTATCGCATTGCTCGGATCACTTTGTCATGCTCCAACTTTGATGCTCGCAAACTTCATGGCTACTCCAATAGAGTTGAGGTAATGCGCATTCAAAAATCAGAGCTATCTTTGCATACTTTTCATCCCTATTGTGAATCATAATATTTGTATTTTATTGATAATTTCAGTCTGATTGTACCCTTTCTACGTCTCGGTGAATTCATGTCTGGTGGACCTCAATTCCCTTTGACATCGGATGCTTTAAAGAAAGTTCTTACCGGTCAAGCTTCACATGAGGTCATATTAAGTGTTGTCCATGCGGTACGTGCCACTTTACCATAATATTTTCCTGTGGATTGTTCTTATTAGGCACTTAATGAACGCACAAATTTTATATGCTTATGGTTGTTAAGAGCAATGTAATCAAGCACGAGATTTTAAGTAGGATCGATTAGCTTGTCAAGGATCGTAAAACTTATATCGTTGGCATGTCATGTAATATCATACCGAAGGGAAAAATGGTAATTTCATATATATTTATACACACGCACATACACGTAAGATCCTACTCAAGCATGAGATCTTAAGTAGGATCGATCAGCTTGTGAAAGATCGTAAAACTCATACCGTTATCATGTCTCGTAAGATCCTACCGAAGCATGTTTTTATAATTTAGGCCCAAAAAAAGCATGTTTTAATTTATGATCTTGCCTCAAAAAAACTCGATCTTGACCGCAAAGGCGCCGAAAACAATATTTCTCTGATCGTAGCACTCTCAACACCCTTGGCACGTAAGATCGTAAGATCTGACGATCTTCACTTTATAAGCTGGTTTTGTAGGATGGGATAATCCAATTCAAATTCTAAAATGATATCAGAGCCTATCTAGATTCATTTTCCTGGTTCGCAAGCTTGCTTGAATTGCTTAATGTTTATACAGTTATCAAATTTTAACACCACTTATTTATCAAACTCTTGCAGATATTTGGATGGCTTGTTGCATCACCTTTTATTCTAGGAACACTATACATAATTTTCTTACCATGCTTCAGAATTCTCCTTCAGAAATTCTCAAATGTATCTTCAAGTCCAAAGAAGCCTCTTCATCCTCACTCAGAAGGAGTAAGCTTGAAGGTAATTTGAAAAAAAAACAAATACTAGTAATCAGTTATAACTGTTATTTCTCGACATAAATTGTACATAATTATCAAAGACTTGTTACTGTTTATAAGCTGAGAATGATGTACTCCGGTTGTAGTGGATGGATTCTTCAAATTCTTCTGATAAACAGGTTCTAGAAAAGGATCGAATGTCGAGTTCCATTGCGAATACATGAAACGTTAATTGATCTCGATTATTAATGTGTCGTATTATCAGTCGAGGTTAATTGATATGTCATGTAATGTGGATTGAATCCATGTTGTAAATGTAAACAAA